ATCGGAATAAGCTGTCATCAAGGACCCAACGCCCGCACGAACACCCTCGGCAAAAGGCCAGAGGTACAGTTCATGCAATGTGCGATCATCAATATTAGACGAATACCCCTGGGTAAGAACACTACCCATGCGGTGCATTTCCTGCTCATTACCGATGTAATGCTTGATAGCCGCGATAGCGCCAGTACTCTGCATACCCTTTATAGTCTGGGCACCTCCAAAAGCCTGCAGAACGGGATCAGCACCGAAGCCTTCCCAGTTCCGTCCACCGCGTGGCTTGCGTCCCAGTGTTCCCACGGATGGTCCCAGGAGCACGTTGACCCCCTTGCCGCGAGCCTCCTCGCCGAGCCCAACACCTCGCTCATACATGAGCTCTTTGTTAAAGGTTGCACCAACCGTGATACCAGGCGGGAAGGCAGTGTTGTGGTCCGAGTTGCGGACTCCCAGAGGGCTGTCTTGGAGGCACAAGTTAGGCACACCCAGGCGAGGCACGCTGCCTGTCTGTCCTACACAGGGTCCCATGAAGAAGCCAGTGCCTGTCGTCAGATTGACTTTCTCGGCTAGCGTCATATTGCTGACGAGAATATGCGCCTTGGAGTAGGCTTCACTCCACTCGGGGATCCAGCCTCCCGGGGGTGTGGGATAGTATGGAGGTGATTCATAGCCTTCTGCTGCTCTCTCGTGTAGGTGGGTAGTAGATTCGAATTCGTCTGGTACTGGGGAAGCTAGGAGAAGCGGGGTCAAAAGAGAGACTAGAGTTAGATGTACCCAAGGAGCCATGGCGACGGATTCGCTATAAACAAAAGAATGTAAGAAAAGATCGTATATTGGCCAGTCAAGAGAACGAGTGCATTATTTCCAAATTCGAATCCGGAGGATTCCAAACAGACAGGATCGCCAGGGGCTATAAGAGAACTACAGACGGAGGAACTATGTGGGAAGGAGCAACGCCCGCGTGCATGTCTCGGGGAAATGTATGTTCACGCGTGGACGCGTGGATGATCTTTGCTGGATTCGAGGAGGATCGTCATGGGAACCCGTTGATATTGCACTTGGCAGTGCAGTGAATACTGAAGACTTGTCACGATTTTTCAAGGATCGACTCGTGACTAGTCTACTAGTGAATTCACTAGCATGCGCGAGGGCTGCCTGACAATAAACCCGAATGCTGATAGGCTGCATAGTGTCAGGGGTTTCAGTGATCAAATATGCAACCCAGCACCCCCTTTTCTCCAGCGACATTCGGTCAATAATTCATCGAGATATTCCAAGATTACTGTAAATAGAGCACGTGACACTGGCCCGCTTGATCGCCATTGAAATGGTAGTTGTTCAATTTCATTCGTTGTTATACATATCCACGTCTTTAGATCTTGGTGTAGCGCAGGTAAGGCTTGACCTCGCGAACTTCACCAAACTTCTTCTTGGCATCCGCGGTACTCACAGAGGGAGGCACGATGACATCATCACCGACGTTCCAGTCGATCGGGGTAGTTACACCCTTCTTATCACCGGTCTGCAGGGAGTCGATGACTCGCAGGACCTCAGCAGAGTTTCGGCCGGTGGAGGCGGGATACATCATGGTCAGGCGGATCTTCTTGCTCGGGTCGATAATAAACACGGAGCGAATAGTAAACGCAACTTCTTTCTGCCCAATGCTATCCTCGTCGATCATGTCGTACAGGAAGGCAACTTTGCGCTCGGCGTCGGCGATGATTGGGAACTTGACTTGAGTCGAGCCGACTTCGTTAATGTCCTTGATCCACTGGTCGTGGGAACCGAGCTCGTTGGCACTCTGAAGAGAATAGGCGCATCAGCTAAAGCTCTGTGGGAGTTGTAAATGGCACTCACCAATCCGATCATCTTGACACCACGTGCGTCGAACTCATGCTGAAGCCGGGCGAAGGCGCCTAATTCGGTGGTACACACCTAATTCCGTGTTAGTTCAGTGTCTTCGTGGAGCATGTTGGTGAGAAATACGGGCGTGAAGTCTGCAGGGTGTGAAAAGAGGATGGTCCACTTATCACCGATGAACTCGTGGAAGTCAATCTCGCCCTGAGTAGTCAATGCCTTGAAGTTTGGGGCTATCTTGTGTTAGCTGGTATCTTGGCAATGCAATCCTGTTGAGACTGTACCAATTGAGCCCAAGCGCAGATGCGGCTGTTCCACCTTAGCCGAGTAGAGGCGGCTGAAACCGGGCGCACGAGGCACCTGCGCAGACCACGAAGCCCGTGGAGCAGCGCCGAGGGCACGGAACATCTGAGAGCCAATTCTTGAAGCCATGATTGTTAAGAGTGAAAGGTGCAATCTTCCAAAATCCAGAGTTGACTCGGGGTCTTCGAAAACCCCTGGGGCCCGGGAACCCGGTGGACGTCATCGAAGCTGACTAAGCGGCCACTTCGGCGGTGCTGCGACGACGTATCACTTGGTTTGCCCACACGCACGCCAGATATATATCTCATCTTTCTAGTATGAATCTGAACATGCCTTGTATTCTTTCAAATATCTCGTATATTGTACCATCTAAAGTACGCAAATTGCAAAATCAAGATTTATACAAATCCTACAAGATCCATTTATAGAACACCTATCCATATATCCGAGACATGAAGTACTATATATACTATAAGACATTCCGATGTACGTGGGAAATTTGACGCCATACACGGGTTAAACTGGAGTCGATGATTGGACCAATTAGAGCCCCAAATCTGAGACCCTTAATCGACACTTGGTCGATGTCCACAATGAAGTCAGCCAATGCCGCCCGTTTAATAGCTTGAATGATTCCTACGAGATGAAAATAACGTATTTTTGGCTAAAAAAGGAGATTCGCTTTACAAAGTATCAGATGGGACTCTTGCTATCCCTTACGTATGTATATACACTGATTTTCCTGATATATAATGCATAAGAAGGCTTCACAAAGTCGAGGCCAAGCTTTTGTGGGCCCTCGAAGGATCTTTCTCACAAAGAGACGGCGTTTCCCTGAAAGTTGGCAGATCCCTTTTTGAAAGTCTTATCTTTGTTCGTTTTCCCCCAAAAGTTTTCGCCACCTTCGAGATGGGACGGCTTCACTACCTACTCGGTTTGCTGCTATTGTTCATTTGTTCATTTTTCTGGATCGCATCGGACCTGGGAAAACAACCATTAAGCATTGTTCTTACTCATGCACCTCGTGAATCTTGTGTCTGCAGCGAAGAAAATGTTACTGTCGCCTCAGATGTCGGTATCATACCGTCAAGTCCACCGGAGCTTCCCATTAAAGATATGGAGCCAATATCAGAACCCCAAATACCAAGCTACCTGCCAATCGCGAATTCCCATGGTCATCACGCGCAGTCCTCGATCCCATTCAAGCTCTGGCAAAAGGCCGGTTCAACCAAAATCCAAGACGACCGCCAGAGAGATATCAACAGTTGGCTAGATGTGAATCCACGTCTACGACATGAGATTCTCACGGACGACAGTGCAGACGAGTACGTTCGTGAGCATTTTGCCGACTACCCAGAGGTCCTTGATCTCTATCTCTCACTTCCGGTCCCAATCCTAAAAGCCGATCTCCTTCGTCAATTGATCTTATACGCCGACGGAGGAATTTGGAGCGATCTTGACGTGACATGTCACATACCAATTTATACTTGGATCCCTGAACAATTTCAAAACAAAACAAATGTCGTCGTCGGTTTGGAATTCGACGGGTTCCAGTTCTCGAGTTGGACGATCATGACAAAACCTAAGACAAGCCATATCGTGGCGGTCATGAAATATATCATCGATAGACTGAAGGCATCTGCTGCGCAGTACAATGTGACCATTGCGCAACTTAACATGACGATGATCAGCGATGTGGTGGAAGTTACGGGTCCACAGGCCATGACTATTGCTCTATTGCAGAATCTGGAGAAGGAAATGGGCGTTCCTTTCGGCCGGGCGAATATAACCAACATCAAAGAACCCACCCTATTTCAGGACGTGCTCGTGTTGCCTAATGCGGCCTTTTCCTCTAGACAGGCTGGCTTCCCGGGGGACAGAGGGCCTTATCTCGTTGAACACCATTACGCCGGCTCTTGGAAGAATGTCAATGGTGGCGAGACGAAATCTTGACATATTGGGAATTTTGTATTGGCGTTGCACCGCACGAAATATATGTGGCAGGACGGACATAGAATCATAATAAACATAATCTAATTTTGCATTCAGCGCTTGATCAAATTTCGAGGAACTGACTGTTGATAGAAGAATAAGTTCATGTAGTTTGCTTCTATCGTGCCGTGTCGCAATTTTATGCTGAATCTGTTCGATAAGTCGACGGGCCACCATATAAACCGCCGAGGGAAGAATCACAGCCCGGTAAACAAGATCGAGCATCAATTGGTTTCTACCTTATCTACTTCTGAGCATATTCCTCACTCTTCTCTCACTTGATCCTTACTATTTTCTCAGTTATTCCTCACTCTACTCTCACCTCCCTTTCGGGTTGAATATAACAACCAAGTGCTAGCCGACCTTCCCACGGATATCTCGCCTTTCCACGGTCTACAAACCACTCCGATCAATCTATACGTCATCTACAGTGCTGGCCCTTATAATAGCACTAATTGGCGATATACTGCCTAGGGCGTATTAAAACCGATACGGGCGTTGCTGGCGGAGGAGCACCAAAATCTCTCGAAGTCGTGACCATCTCATTTACCCCTACCTGATTGGACGTGATCATCATCCTACAATCACTCGCTCCAAGCTCAAGTACATGGTGGACCTCCTGCTCTGTCTTGGTACGATGAAACAATCTTCCTCGCATTCTCCGTTACAGCCAGACTCACCTGGTATACCAAAGCATAGCCGTCGCTTGATTCTCAAACGGAGCGACACAGACTCCTTCTTAGCACAGATGCCTACACGGTGGTTACAGGCTCGTAATAATTATGTCATGCAAGGATTGGGTGCCTATAACTGGTACCAAGTCGCTGCGGTCATAAGGGAGTTTGACGAAAGTCAGCGCTGATCCGTGCTCTTTGGTCCTTGGCCAAGAAATACGGAGTTCGGAAGGGGAATCGTGGTCGACTGGACAAGCAATTCACTGCCATTGCGCAGGTGGCGACTCACAATACGGCGTGAGAGTCGAAGCTGGTCAAGCTCGAGACAGAGACCGAGACTATGTGACCCACACAGCTGACTAGCTTCAGTCTCTTCGCGATGCTGCCACCGCGCTTAGCAACGAAAACGCGTACCTCTGCCAGCAGATCCAGGCGACTCAACCGTGTGAAGGTGTGGTTCGGGGACGAACATGGCATTCAGGGCATTTTCAACAGTCAGTGAGACAGACTATTGGAGCGGTCCTGGAGGCCCAGTCTATCGGCGTAAGTCTTGGTGATTTAAAAGCTTCTGGTGTTGCTTACGATAAAGTCCCGGGCTGCGTCCTCATCACAACTAACCCTTTTATTCTCCCTAGACTCAAAGCTATAGGATAGTTGAAAGTTCAATTCAGAGGAGCAAGCACCCACTCCAAGCCACCCAGAAATACCCATAGAACAGGGGGACACAGCTGAAGCGGTAATGCAATCGGTTGAGGATCCCTTGCCCACTCAATATGTCTTTGGTACAGACATAGCGTCAAGTGATTCGGACAATGAGGGAGTACCAAGTTCTTTCCTTGATGACCAGGAGATAGGTCTCTATTATCGAGTTTAAAATGAGCATGTCTAACGAAAGAATATATAGGAGATAGATCAGACGTTATGGGATATCGTTGAAAACCCACCCCGTGAACTTTCTAGAGAGCCTACCCCAGAATCACAGAGAATCCTACACGAGGAAGGACTCCTTACGAGAGAGGCACAACTCCGGGTGACTTGCCATTCAATTCACCGAGACGTAATGATACATACACACTGAAGCACGCTAGTCGTGGCATACGTTCTAAGCCATGTCTGTAAGTTTGGTGTTGCTTGTTCTATAATGGAGTTGCTAACTGGATGGCCTACACAGTATTCGCTCAATCAACTTACCAGCCTCTACATTGGAAACTTTATGCGTGAATGTCACCGAGAACACACACAAGGTATCGGTGGAGGAGCTAGTCAGGGGAGTGCCATTTTCAGAGACCTCTCTCGTTGTCGAAGTTTCCAGAACAGCCTCTTAAGAGAACACAAGAGCCATTGCCCGTGGCTTGGAGCTAGAGGGTACGGGAAGAGAAGAAGATAGGCTATTTCACAGTAGAGTCCCAATGACTTTCTACCTCGATACTTTTCTATCAACTGCTTATTTCAGTATCAACTTTGCTGCCCTATCTATCAGCTGCCTGTCAGACAAAATACCCAAGGCCGTAGATGGTTCTATCAAAGAGAGAGTCTTCTCGCTCAACAAGGATTTACTTCGTAGCTCCGGATCCTATGCTGCCACACGCTACGGCTACAGTTTGCTCAGTTCAGGCACCTGCTTCTCCTCTAAGGGAGACCGAGCAAAAACACTTACGGCATTCAAACCGAGCAGTTTGTTCGAAATATTCATAGTTCAGGTGGATATCTACATGTAACTAAGGACCGGGCTTGGGAGAGACGGTTGACGAGCAGGTCTTGAGAAGAATCCATCTAAATGAAGTAAACACTTGCTAGTCAAGATATCCCTGGTTCAATTGCTAAGAACGACCGTATCCCAAGGTTGGCAAGCTTTGTGCTTTCTGGTGTCAAGACAATGGTTCCATTGGTTCATGTATGTGATCTACACGGGCCGCAAAGCTTAACCTATTGAGCTTAAAGACCCACAATAGACAATAGGCCACAATGTAGATGGTATTGTGTTGGGAGCCTATTGATGGCCATTGATGGCTATTGTGGCAATCCATTGTTTGGAGTGGGTTGCCTGGGCAGGGTCCGTTTGAATGGGCAGTCGTTCAATTGAGGAAGGAACGCGTAGGAAGGACACCGCGTAGGCCTGCCTATAAAACCCAACCCTCGTTTTTGTTTTCTCTTTCTCCTCTCTCTCTCTTCCCTCTCACACATTTATCGCAAGAACCCCATTATTACCAACAACAACAATGGCTGTTTCTCGCGTCGTGTTTTTCGTGCTTCTTGCGGCCATGGCCGCATACTGGCACACTGATCTTTTCCAACTTGTTGGAACCATCGTCGTCTTTCTCGTTGCCTTGGTGGCAGCGGGATGCTGCATGAGCAGGTAAGTTTGGAAGCCTCATCCTTCATATGTCCCCTCCGTATGGCCAGCCTCTGGGTCATGTCTCATGGCATCAAAAGAGTTGCCATCACTGCCTTGCCCAAGACCCATCCCACGCCCATCCCAAGTCCATCACTGCCTTACCCAAGTCCCATCCCAAGCCTATCCCAAGTCACATCCCAAGTCACATCCCAAGTCACATCCCAAGTCACATCCCAAGTCACATCCCAAGTCACATCCCAAACACTCACTCAAACACTCGCCCAAAAGACCATTAAGACTAACGTTGAGTAGCTCCCGTGGGTGGTTGTTCCGACTGCTGCAAGCTGCAGCAGTGTCGGTCGTTGAACCAACACCGACCAACGACACCCCCGCCACCAAGGCCATCTCGGCCACCGAGGCCGAGATGAAGAGAATTTCGACACTGAGAGCGCAGGTGGGGATTTTGGAGCAGCAGCTCCGTGGCACGGAGGCACGAGTGCGTGACTCCGAGAAAGCCCGGGAGATGGAGAAAAACCGCCATGACAAGGAGGTCCGGAACAAGGACGCTCAACTGGCAACCATCTCTCGGGGGATCAAGGAGTCCCGGTACGTGAAGGACCAGGTCATCGTCGAGTGCCGCCAGTGGCGGCGCAAGTTCGAGGACTTGGAAGACCTACAGCGACTGGCCCAGATAAATCCCGTTCGCGGGATGCAGGGACGTACTCGTTGGGCCCCTGCCAAGAAAAACGGAGTGCGAAAGGGGAATCGTGCTCGACCGGACAAGGAGTTCACTGCCGTTGCGCAGGTGGCAATTGTCAATGCGGCGTGGGAGTCGAAGATGGTCAGCTTCGAGAACGAGGCCCGTGCTTATGTGGCCCGCACGGCTGACCAGATTCGGTCTCTCAACGACGCTGCCACCGCGCTCAGCAACGAGAACGCGTTCCTCCGCCAGCAGATCCAGGCGACTTCCGGCATCTCCCACGAGCTGGCCCAGCAGCAAATGGGGGAGGCTGTGAGAAGCGCCTTGGTGAACGCCGAGCAGCAACATGAGGAGCGTGTCAAGTTGCTGAAGCAGACCCATCTTGGGGAGCTGACGGCAGTCAAGGTCGACTACGAGGGGAAATTGACTAAGGCGACCGCGGAATCGAAGGCGGAGGCGGAGACCGCACTTTCCCAGCAGCGTGAGGTAGGCGAGGGAGCGGCACAGCACGCACTCGCCACCAAAGAAGCGCAGCTGGGGGAGCTGCGTGCCACACTCTCCCAGCAGCATGAGGCGAGCGAGGCAGCGGCTCAGGAGACAAGTTCCCTGAAGCAGGCACTCGCCGCCAAAGACGCGCAGCTGGGGGAGCTGCGGGCTGCACTGTCCCAACAGCGTGAGGCGGGCGAGGGAGCGGCACAGCACGCACTCGCCGCCAAGGAAGCGCAGTTGGGGGAGATGTGGACCGCGCTGTCCCAGCAGCGTGAGGTGAGCGAAGGAGCTGTTCAGGAGACAAATTCCCTGAAGCATGCACTCGCCACCCAGGAAGCGCAGCTGGGGGAGTTGTTGGCCGCCAATGCCATGATTACCGCTGAGCTACAGGCTAGTAAGGAAGAGCAGGAGAAACTGGATGGCGACATGGAGGTCGAAACCTCCAGGGTCGTCCAGTACGTGCAAGAGAGGGACGGCGCTATTAGAGCCGGCAAGAAATTGCAGGAGCAATTCCATGCCCTGCAGGAGCAGTACGAGGAACTACGGTCCTCGTACCGCGACCTTGCGGTGGAGAAGGCGGGCCTTGAGGTAGAAATTGGGGACCTAAAGGAAGCAGTGTCCGACCTCGCCGACCAAGGCGAGGCGATGTACCAGGAGGTCGAAGGCCTCGAGGGCAACAACCGAGCTCTGGCAAACCAAAACTCCGAGCTCTTTTGCCAGTCTTTGGCATCAGACATGGAGCTCCAGCAGACTCGGGACAGAGTGGGCAACCTTGAGCGCCAGGTGACGGATTACCAGACGGCGGAGGCGGCGGACATCACGTCGGCGGTTAGCGGCATGGGGTTCAACGCTGAATAAGCGTCCATCCGCCCGTCTTAGTTAGCCTCCCCCGGTCTTCGTCATCCTGCTGCAGCTCGGTTGCTCACTTTGTTGTTGTCCTCACACTGCTTCCTATAGGTTCTCAACCCGCCCCCACCTCCCTCTCTATCTTCCTTGCTGTTGTCTTTGTCTTCCCCCCCCTATTCCTAGCTGTTCCATCCCTCATCTGACCACCCCCTCTCACCCCCCTCTCCGGCGCGACCGACCCCCCGCGACCGACCCTATATATATGCATCGCAGCATGTCTCGCTAATGACTCTCGGTCTTATGAATTCACCATACCGCTCGTTTGCCGCTCGGCCAGTGATGCTGAGTCTGGCCAAGCTTGTGCTCGTTGCGATATGGCAAATTCCTTTCACCACGGCGGCGCCTGTCTTCTCGCGGCTTGTTCTGTCATCTCCCGACACAGAACTGGGGAAGGAACCGAGCGATCCAAGTTTATGGCTTTATTTGGGATTCTCGGCTGCTCTTGTGTTGAGCGGTGGAGCATTCGCGGGTCTTACGATTGCCCTGATGGGACAGGTTAGCTCTTTCCAATGCGGCTAAAAAAAAAAATTCCCCGATGAGCCAGGCTAACGTCTTGATTGTTTCGTACAGGATGAAGTTTACCTCCAAGTCATCCAGACATCCGGCGAAGGGCACGAGAGGAAAAATGCTACTAGTGTTCTCAATCTCTTGAACCACGGAAAACATTGGGTTCTTGTGACACTACTCCTCAGCAATGTGATCACAAATGAAACTTTACCCATTGTCCTTGACCGAACGCTTGGTGGTGGTTGGCCGGCAGTGTTAGGAAGCACTGCTTTGATTGTCATCTTCGGCGAGATTGTTCCACAGTCTATCTGCGTTCGTTATGGTCTTCCCATCGGTGCCTGGATGGCGCCTTGCGTCCTGGTCTTGATGTACATCATGTCTCCAGTCGCCTGGCCAATCGCAAAACTGCTAGACAGGCTGCTTGGAGAGGACCATGGTACCATCTACAAAAAGGCTGGATTGAAAACACTCGTCACACTCCACAAAACATTGGGCGAAGCCGGAGAGCAACTAAACTCCGATGAAGTGACCATTATCAGTGCGGTCCTCGACCTCAAAGAGAAGTCAGTCGGCAGCATCATGACACCGATGGATGATGTCTTCACCATGTCTGCAGACACTGTGTTGGATGAACGCACAATGGACCTCATTCTTTCTCAGGGATATTCTCGCATTCCAATCCACGCTCCTGAGAATCCGATGAATTTTGTCGGTATGCTCCTTGTCAAGATGCTCATTACCTACGACCCGGAAGATTGCAAACGGGTCCGTGAGTTTGCTCTGGCTACACTTCCTGAAACACGCCCTGAAACCAGTTGTCTCGATATTGTGAATTTCTTCCAAGAGGGCAAGTCACATATGGTTCTTGTATCTGAATATCCTAGCGAGGATCGTGGCGCTCTTGGAGTTGTCACCCTGGAAGATGTCATTGAAGAACTGATTGGAGAAGAAATCATTGACGAATCTGACGTCTTTATTGATGTCCACAAAGCCATCCGACGAATGACGCCTGCACCCAAGTCTCGTGTCGCCAAAGGCAAGATCGTCGAGGAACCTCCTTTGAACGCCTCTCTTATTCCCGATGGCGACTTGATCGACGTGAATTCCACACAACCCTCATCTTTCCCTAGGCCTTCCGATTTGATTCGCCGCCGCAGTTCCGTGGAAGCACCCCTCCCTCGCTTTCAACTTCGAAAGACTACTGCCGACATGAATTCTGACTCGGCAAATGAATGGGTTACACAAGTCGGCGCCACAGATGAGATTCGAGAACACCTAAAACATCTTGGTCCTTCCAACCTGGCCAGTAGGCCGCGCCAAACCCGTTACCATTCCGTCAAGATCAAGCGCAACGGCACCTCTCCGTCCCGTTCTGCACAAACCGACTTTGAGTCCGGACAAAGCACCTCCGACTCCCAAAAGCTTCTTCCTTCTTCTACCGCATACCAAGGTGGCATAGGTGCGGGCTTGCTCAACTCCGCTGGAACAGACGCGAAAGACGGTGCGCATGCTCTCAAACTTGGCTACGGCACCATGCTTTCGCATGACAGTGTAAGCAAAAGCACCGGTGCCCATCAATACAAGGACCTTCCCCAAGTCTCCATTCCCGAGGCCGTTCGTGAGGAACATGAAGACCAACCGCGTTCTGGGCCGGCGCGGGAGGCTAGTAGTGTTGCTCTACGTGACGATTCTGAAAACCAACCGCGTTCTGGGCCGGCGCGGGAGGCTAGTAGTGATGAAGGCAGTGTTGAATCGTCTGGTACACCAGGCTTTGTTTACCACCACCGCGGACCGGCGCGCAGTGGAAGCATCACAGAACAGATCGTGGATGTCAATGGTATCCGGAAAGTTGTTCTGCATGCAAATTGCACCAGTTCTTCCGAGGGGGAATCCCATGCACCAGGCCATGATCGCAACCACGATGAGCATCATACCGATGGTGCGGTCCTTGAGACCGATGTTACAAAATCCGAAACCCCCGACGCCGGCCACGCAAAACCCAAAAAGAAGCGTCGCCGAAAGAAGCATGGCAAGGCTTCAAAGTCTGATGGCGGTCCCTCAGAGAACCAGCCGTTACTTTGATGAGCCGTTAGTTAGTTTAATGAGACCTGTCAAACCATATATTTTTACTATTTTCTGTACCACAATTATGCCTGTAGTCATAAGATGTAGAAGCGCCTTCGGGACAGTCTAAGGGTATTTGCATTGCTTTGGAACGGTATATGCCAACTGAGAAGCCCAAAGCCTCTTAACTCGCGTAGGAATTTGATATACCGCATGAACACTGGGAGTAGATTTCAGTCACCTTGGATAGCAATTGTTGATTTAAATGCAACATTGGTGGAGAGAACCCAGAACAGGCCAGCACGCATTTACATGTAGACTCTAAGGAACGAAAATCACCACCTTTGAGAAACTGGTCTTACCCATAGGTTAACTATTATGTTACCACCCACTGCCTCTCCTATATCCATTTCTAGATAGTGAGTGGGTGTGACATATAGAGCTGGATTGCCCAAATATTCAGGGACTAAGACTCCGGATTCAATAGGAGCCTATGAGTGTCTTACTAGCAATCCTTTTCAAACAACCCTTAATGTAATTATAAAAGCCATCTGGGGGGAAATTAACATTGGAACCAGACACAAGTAGGCAACCTATACAGGCTACAAATAGTTATAGTGCACGGATAGATGTACGAAGAGAGTAAATGAAGTTGTATTGGCCGGTGGCCTGAACCTGCTCTATAGGATGTAACACCGAGAGTCGACAGTATGAGCCTCGGAATGAAAGCCATCCGGAATGAAAGCCATCTAGGATTCACTCAAAAAGGCGTCGTTTGTTATGCTGAAGTCCCTGGAGATCTCCCTCGATCGAGTCGGACTTCTCCTTCTCAACCCAACCCTTAGTATAACCTCCTTCAAAATCAATCAGGTATGCATCCTCATTGACGTCAATGAGCACATTGGCCGCCTTCGCATCTCCCCAAATTATATGATGTAAATGGAAGTGTTGAAGTGTGTGGGAAACCTGATCAAAACATTTTTGTCGAAGCTCGGAATATTTGGGATCATGTCCATCAATGCAGTTGAGTGTAGCTCCACCGCAATCGATGTATGATAAAAGCAATCCCATTACATACCCATTATCATCCTGGATCAGCCCTTCCAGTTGTGATGTGAGAATCGGGGGATCGAATTTAGCCATGTGAATCTTTGAATAAGTGAGAATCTCTCTTGTGAGAATACCCGCGTCACCCCAATAGACTAGCTTAAAGAAGCTAGGCTGTGGTCGCCCATGAATGAATACTTTGCGAGGTATTCCTGGCAGTGCAGCTGAGTCTGCACTAATTGGAACCTGGACTTCCTTGGGATGGTAGACAGGAAAAATCGAGTAGTCGACGGAGGGTGGTAAACAGGTCCCGATGAGATCATTTTGCATCCTCTTGGTATTACTGAGATAAACAGGAACTAACTTCTCTTCCACCACCTGCACAGTGTAGTGAAATTCTTCTGCAAACAGACAGTCGTCAAGCGTGTACTTTTGGCTCGGGTCTAGGGGAGCAATTTCGTGGAAGATTGACAGAAATGGCTGCAAGACCCAATCATGCATTTCTTCAAGAGGGTCTTCAAACTCCCCATCATCATCTATTTCGGCCTCATCGGGTATCCATTCTGGCTCTTGACGTCGAACGTGTCGAAGATATTCGGCCAGGAGGGTAGATGAGCTTTCGAAGCCGGAAGCAAAGAGATCGATTTTGAAGCGTTTGTTGGAGACATTCAACTGTGTGTCTTTGTTTTTGGTACTTGATCTAAATAGACCGATTTCATAGATGAGTTGCTTTCGTGCCATCGCTGGCAGTCGAGGAGTTGCAGCAAAAAGAAAGGAGATAGAGAGCGCAGTTGACCTATCAAATCGTATTGGAAGCTAACAGAGAACTGGAAGAGAAAAAGGAACAAAGAGAGAGGGGAGGGAAGAAGCCTTCACCCTAGGCATTGGTAGAGTCAGCTATAGACGGTGTGCATCTAACTAGCCAATGATACCTCACATCTGCAGCAGCTTGGCAATCGGGTCTCCGCAGCAGCCTTTACCATTGCCACCCCAAGCCAAAAATCGACCGTATGGATGAAGGCGTATTGGAGCTAGACCCAAGGTAGAATCATCACAGGTTCTCCTGTTACATCTACAACTATAAGATCAAGACACAGAAATGGAGCAAATTTGACTTGATTTTGCTCAGACTAAATACATGAATGATATCTCCCAAAAGACTCCCCCAGATAACAGGATGAGATGACGACAAAGTGACAACAGCTGTAACAAAAGGTATATGTAATAGTCTATGTGATGAATCGATCATTGCAGAAGAGGGTCCTAGTGGGAAGTTAGTTTTGCAAAACAAAAAAAGAGTACAGGTCGAACATACCCTGAAGTGCTTCTGGTGATTGTTGGCTTTTTGAACGCGGGCAACGTAGCGGTTCTCTTGGCGAAGGGCACGAGTCCTCTCGCGGCGCTCGGCAGTAAGAGCAGCTTCTTTTTGTTCGTCGGTAACTCCAATCATGCCCATGCCACCGTTGGCACGAGTGATAAGAGAGCGGTGATGGTTGGTGCGGCCGCGGGGAGGTTCCTCCTCGATTTCTCCATTCGCAATGGCAAGCTGGCGGGCAGCTCGTTCGGCGGCTGAGGGGTATTTGTGCAGGTTTTGTCGGTAGTATTTGGCAAGCGAACGATGACCGACACTCTTTCCAGATGGAAGGTGGAGCTCGTAATCTGCCTCGTAGGCACCTGAGGCGTTTCGATATGAGTCAAGATCGTCCTCGTCGACGGAGGATGCGGAACTGTCGGTTTCCCAGCCTTCATCTCCATCTCCGTGCACCTTGACGCCACCGCTCCCGGCAGTGGATTCGTCTTCATCTTCGGAGTAAGTGCTCCGGAAATCGTAGTATTGGCCGATTTCAACTTGTTCTTCTTCGGACTCGAAGGCAATCATGCAGTGGCTCTTGTCGCGCATGTGGGTTTGGATCGCTTGTGCGTCGTTCTTCATAGCGTGACAGTAAAGACATTCGAAGTTTTCGGTGATTTTTCGGTAGAGATAGTGCACAAGGCCATCGAGATCCGACAAATATTTTTGTTCGGGGATAAACATGCCGTGCTCTATCCGCATGTGGTCCACGTTGGTGTGAATATCAGATGATTCAGTTTTGCAGAAGAGACAGCGAGTTGCCAAGAACTCATCCTTCTTGATATCAGTTTCCATATCCTCATCTTCTTCTTCGTCAATGGTGGCAGCCTTCAGGTCCTCGGTGACCTTGCTGACGTCATCGCCCGATTTGGTCACGGGCTCGCCGAGAGAGAAAGCGGAACTTTGTACGGAGGCAGCATCGCCATCCTTACGTAGGCTGGCCGCACGTTGCTTGTGCTTCGAGCTGTTCAAGTGATTCTTGTACGAGTTTTCGCTGTAGAATGCCTTATTGCAAGTGTGGCATGTATTTTCGTACGAAGCTTTGGCGGCGGCCTCATTGGATGTAGCTTTGGCGGCTAGAACTTTCTCGTTGAAGGTTTCGAGAGTGACAGGTGGCAGAGAGGCGATGCGACGCTTCATGTTGTATAAACTAGGGAAAATCAGCTTCTGAAGTCGCAAAAAAAAAAAGACAGAAAAGAGACTTACTGCCAGTCTTTGCGCATGTGATCTCTCTGAACATCGCTGCGTTGGAAGGCAACGAGACAGGTGTTGCAAGTGTATTGCAGCGAGGCTGCGTCTTGGGTGGTCGACGACATATCGGTAGATTTTCGAGAGTCGTGGGTGGTTGTAAGGGCGGGTTTCCCCTTTGGATTGTGGGATAAATATTTGTTGCAGGCGGGGTACATATGAAGGCTCTGCCTGGGCCCGATTTGAATGATTTTTTGATGATCTGAGTGTAAATTGATGATCAAAGTAGATGAAAGTGATGCGATGCAGATGGATGTAAGAGAGAAGAATTTTCGGAGGGCAATGGTCCTGCGAGTGAGTCTTTATACACTCGATAGACCGTCATCCAGAGTTGCTCCGCCGCTTGAAATTGTTTCTTATCGAGCGACTAGCCCCCTCTCGAATGCCACTAGGCCTACTCCGGTTAGCGTGATTACCGTAAACGGCTTAGTAGCCTTCGAAAAGGCCGGCGGAACTGAGTGGACCAAGGTCCGCCGGATTATTTGACTTCCGACAGCTCCGATGCCAAAAGGGGAAATACTTTGCCTGAGGCATAACGTCTTACTACGTTATCAGGTAAGCTGGAGCGTCTTCAAGGTAGGTCGCATTTATTCAACGCGTGGCGACGAGTAAACCACTAGCGCTCATCCTCGCATCCAGCTGCTCTCACACCCTCAGAAATGCCACACTGCTCAAAATGACGAGGCTCCGTGGAGGTTCCATAGACGACCCAGACATCGCGCAATCCCCCGGGCACGGGCGAACGAACACTTATCGGTCAAAGCTCCCACCAAACGCACCGGATGCGCTCTCACAAAATACTATTGAGGTATCCGATCCCTCAAGAGTGCTACCACGGTATCGCGATGATCGAAGACGGAAGTTCAACGGCTTAGTGCGCCGGTGAGTGGAACTCCAAACGCTGGGCCTCGCCTCCTAATTCCGCATGACACTAATTGATTTGGCGGAAAAGGTACAAAGCTCAACTGCTTCACGGCTGCGATGACCCCGGATGTCGAACAGCTACATGTGCTAGTCATCGCCGAAGACTCAGCGAAGGTCCATATCGTCGGTACACAGAACTCAGTGCTAGGACCCTGGCATGCTACCTTGCCAGCTTGGACGACCCGGAGACCGGTCTATGTCTCAACGTGCCTAAGCCTCCACCCCAATTGACAGTAGAAGATTACCATCGGATGTCCCTGCGCCGAACCCGTACACTTGAAGCACAGACGGCAGCGGCTAATAGATCGCCAAAACCGGATCAGTATGATGAAGACCACTCGACCCACGATATGTCCAGGCCTGCACAAGATAGATCGGCCGTGTCGAAAGTGACAGAAGGGGGTTCTTCGCCTCAAATTCGTACCGGTAGCAGCTATATTCGGGACCTTGACCATACCGCGGAGCAACAACTAAAAGACCCCAAGTCCTTTACACAGAATCTCTTTGATACAATCTCGCTCCGTATGGTCGAATGGCTTCCCCTTCGCCGTGCTGCGGATGCGTTAGAGTCAAAGTCTAAACCCCTTGCACCGGGAGCTGCGAGCTATCCATCTGCTGCTGAGAAGCACCACTGCGATGCCGATAAAGTTCCAGGCAGAGATGTCAAGATTCCAGCGAGTTCCACGCCTGCAAATCAGCCCATCTCCCAACCTCGTACTCCTTCATCGCGAACGTCGGCATCGCAACCCCCCGCGGTCGAGCTCAAGTTCCAGAACCAGCATGTCAAACGACTGTCAATCTCCGAGGTTGACCATTGGCGCCAGAGTCCACGTTCAAGCCTTGAAGATAAAAAGAAACCAGAATTTAGCAGGAAGGTCCCGGTGGCTTCTTCTGATGAGTTTGTCAGCTTGCCCTCACCGCCGGCGTTAAAGCACCGTCCACAAAAGCACTGCGGAAGAATTGGGGACGTCGACTCGGTTCCTCTGAAGGGACGCCGCAAAAGTCAACGACGTGTCTCCTGGGACAGCCAGAAGTTGCTCGATGAGGTATCTCCTATCAATAATACGAGGAGCAAGGAACTCATGCCTCCTCCTCGCCCTCTCCCTTCTGTTAACCAATCCCCCAGTGAGCGCAAGGCAAAGCAACCTCCTGTTGAAAATTCGTTAGACATCATTCCCCTGGCTCAGACGGTCACTCATCTTACTCCCGAGATTATCGATGGTCTGTCACGGGTCATGATTGAATCTGCAGAAGATGCTGATTGCTGGGAGGAAGAGCTTGATCGTATTCAGTGCACTGGCAGCTTTGAGCAGCCGGATTGGTGTTTTGCAACTCTGCGTCAGCGTGAAGTATTTCCGTTCGTTGCTCAAAGTGTATTTTTCGTGTTCAGCAGCCCCAGTCAAATTCTGCGCTCCTTTAGTAGCGAGCCAACGGATATGATTGGGGCTACTTTCAGTCGCCTTGATGTTTCTCATCTGCGTCTATCGCTGCAGCGCCTGTTCACGATATGCCCATGGGATATTGCACTACATAGCCTATGGAGCTCTCTGGACAAGCTCTTTGTTCCCCCACGGGGATTTACCTCTTCTGGACGGCCATCCCGCCGATCGTCTCGCAGTTCGACCATGACAGGACCTGCGGCCCCTCCGATCGTTCCCCGACGAGTTTCTGAATCTACCAGTGACTATCATATGTCTGATCCTGATGCTGCCTACATTGCCACGATTGCCTTGTTCACTTTGGTCAGCTTCGTGCCTAAGATTGACTTGGGGACTTGGAAAGCGGTGGTTCGGATGCGTGCCGCTGGGTCTGTAGCCTCGCTCTCGGACATGCGCAAGCTGCCTTCGAAGAATGCTCAGCAAGCTATCGAGGTGACGGACAGATTCGAGCACGAGTTAGGTCTTCGCCTCATTAATCGCCTCGTGCGGGCTCTCACTGCACGACTGGCGTATCATGAAATCTCCAAGGCCCGCCAAGTGTACAGCCTAGACGTACCAAAACAACGAAGACTCAGCGTGTTGGACCGTGTGGTTGACTATCTTAGTGAGCAATACATCTCTCACACTGCTGGCAGCGATGAGCCCGCTGAGTCTATCAACCCATCCTCTCTCATTGTTGAGTGGCTTCGGACTCTTTTCCTGCGTGAATGGGACGGCAACCCCGAAATGGCTCGTAGCAGCCCAGCCGGTGGTGCCGTTCAGATTCTAGCCTCAATGTA